GCCACCAGAGAGGGCCGACTGTTTGTTTTTAAAGATTGATTTTATTTTTATATGCATACAAGAGCTGGGGTGCAGGCCAGAGGTGTTAGGGAGGGGTGAGAGGATTCACCAGAGACAGAGTGGGGAGCAGAACAGGAGCATCCAATGAAGTACACTGCTGAGGGGAACAGCGGGTGAGACAGGAGAGGTCTGCCGCGCCATGTGGGTCACCTCCCTGGCCGGGGTTCGAACTCTTGCTGCAGTGGTTGGTGACAGCCTCATATTCACTGAGGCTTAACCCCTGCACCACCAGGGAGGCCCCACACTATTTGTTAGAAGAAAACCATTTATTACCTCAAAGCTGTTTACTGTTTTGCTGAAAGCTTGAATGTTCTAATTGGACAGCAATGCTTAGAGGTGAAAGATTTCAGACTACCTTCATCTATAAATAAAAGTGAAAAAGACAACTTTTTGCCTATTCAATTGGTGACAACTTAGGAATTTCTTTCAGTACTCACTGTGGGCAGGTCGAAACACTTAGAAGGCTTTTGGCCACGGGTTAGCTCCACCCACCTGACAAGTCATTGGTCCGATTGTTTAAACAGTAGCAGTGCCGGGTGGGGAATTTAACTGGGTCCACAGCCTTCAGGTTGGAAACTGCGGAGAGAAATGGCTCACACAGCATCCTGATGGAGCCAACCCTCCCCGTCCACCACGCCTGCCATCAGCACCCCCAAGGCACCTGCACTTACTATTGTAAATGGCCACAGAAAACTTGTGGAAGGCGAAGGAGCTGTAAGACGTGACGCTCAGCAAGGAGAAGAATTTCCTGCTATCTGCCAGAGAACCGAGAAAACAACAGGATCCTACTGACAACAAGTAGTGGTAGAAATTAGTACACAGATAATAGATGTGCACCACCGCAGGAAGAAAAGACCAAGGGAGTAGAAGGGGCTGTGTTAGAAATAAAATAAAGAGCAGCTTGCTATATAATGGGTAATTTTAGATTTAGAGGAAGCCTGACCAGGAAGCCATCTATGCGAGAAGGACCCCAAATTAAAGTTGGTTGCAGAGAGAAGTGGGGCAGTTGGCGGCCAGAGGTGGAGGTGGGGAGAAATGGTGAAATTCTGAATGTATCTGAAGTGGGGTCTGCAGGATTTGTAGGATGCAGGAATGTCACTGGAAGAAAATAATTTTAACCTAGTACAACTGGAAAAAATTTCCGTCAATTGAAATACAATGGCCACCGATGTTAAAAGTCAGCCGGAAAACGTGTTCATTTATTGTCTTCATCTGCGGGGCTGTGTAGCCTGGGCTGAGACTAGCCCTTTCAAAATCTGTTCTGTTTCCTAGAGCCTGCCTGTGAGCCTGGCCCAATGCTAGCCCCACGCTGAGATGGTCATACGGGATTCACATGCAAAATAAAACCACCAAGAGTAAATCATTGAGTTCAATAACAAATAAGAAAGAATAATCAAAATAAAAAATAATAACATTTTTTAAAAGTCTACTAAAACACTCCGAAGTGCATGCCACTTAGTGGTATTTCCTGGGCTGTCCTTGCCCGGCACCTGTCTCACCAGAAGGTGTGATGAGCAGCACCTGCACACACGACGTTTCTCAAAGTGCAGCCAGCCCATCCACACTGACATCCCCTTGGTTATGAGCCAGGGAGAACACATCCCCCACTCTACCCTGGGAGCAGTGGAAGGGAATCACACCTTGATTTGTGCAGGTCCAAAAATGACCCAGGAAGAAAGCTTGTTGAGACAGAAGTGAGCCTGAATTAACCTTAGATAGGTGTTTCCATATTTGACAGCTAAATAGCTAGAAAAGGGATGCCTGGCTCATTTCCATTTTTAGTGTTTTCAGGGCTCTTCCACTTTTCACAGTCCCCAAAACATGCAGTCAACTTAAATGCTCAGCAGACTGCTGGATAAAGAAATTATAGTGTAGCCATGTACCGGAATACTACTCAGCAGTTAAAAAGAGGCATTGTACCTTTTGAGACGGCACCTGCCTTTTGCAATATGGACGCAACAGAGATGATGAAGTCAGAAAGAGAAAGACGATTCCTGGAGGTGTCACTCAATTGTGAAATAGAAATAACCAAAGAAACCAAAGTGGCCAAACACAACAAAAATAACTTACATTCTGTGGAAAATATGGTGGTTGGAGGGGGGTGGGAGGGAAAGGAGTGGTGGGGAAGGACGAGGAGAGGCGGCCTGGGCACAGGAGCATTGTGGAGGGCGAGTGAAGTGTGTTCCTATGTTGGCATGAAGCTGTACTCCTGAATGATACAGTTTTATAAGTAAATGGCAATCAATAAACTGGAGCTAAAAAAAGAAAAATACAAATAATATTTTTTTTAATGGGACTGGATGATGCTTTAAAAAAAAAAAAAAGATTACCTTTCAGCGCTCTCGTCAGCATGCTGTTCACCAGCTCTGTCAGGTTGAGCGCAGACAGGTCCACTGACCTTGCAGGAAGCTCTGCAGGAGGGTCAAAGACATTGTCACCACCGGCTTTTCTGGGCCACAGAAAACATCCCCATTTCCCACATCCACGAGGATGTGGACAGGGGCTGAATCCTAGCCCCGAGCTGGTTCCAACAGCACAGTCCTCAGGAGGGGACAGCACAGCCACACGGCTTCGGGCGGACATCGGGCGAAGCCGAGGAACACTGGCCGCAGCGCCTGCTCTCCCTGCCCTCGGACACAGCAGGAGTGGCGGGAACGATTCATGTAGAACGGGGCGCCGAGGACAGCACGGGGCCCGGAGGCACCCCGTTGCCACGCGAGGACCCCGCCTGGCCAGGCTTCCATCCGCGGCACGCGGATTTAACAGGCTTGTGATGTGCCCCGGACATCAGAACAAGATCAGCCCAGTGGTCAGCCTGTCATGCCTCGGCGCCCGTGGCATGCAGGCGGGGGGGGCAATGGGGAGGGTAAGCCACCGTCCCCAGCTTTCCCTGAAGTATGCACACAGTGGGACAGTGGCGTAGGGTAGGTGTTCTTTTACTATTGCAAACTTGCCTTTTTCAGCACTTGCCTGATGCTTAGATAATCGCGTAAGGAAAGCAGCTTGGGGAGTGGAGAGGGGTGGCTGTCCCATGGTGTAGATCAGGAGGGGCTGGGAGGAGAGAAGTCTCTCCCGGGGCCGCCCCTGGGGCACTGGTGGGATATGGAGCATGTCGCTCCCCCCCCTTTTCTTTCTCTCTTCTTTAAAGCCAGACCCTGGGAAGAGGAAGCCTGCAGCCCCTAGAAGCCTCTGGCGCTCTGTGAACATGAGGGTCACCAGGGACACCGTGAAAAGACAGCTCTGGGCCCCTCCCTGAGGTCCTGGTCTCCTTCTCCTGAGCCTATGACACACATTGCAGTAAATGAGGTGGTTCTGGTCCAGGGCATCTGACCCAGGAAACGGAGACTCGCAGAGAAGGAACTTGCCTAAATGTGGAACAGGAACCCTAGTAGGGGAGGGGTCGGAACCTGCTTCCCAAGACTACAGAGCACGACCCTTTAAAGGTCAGGCCGCCCACTTACTTGGTCAAGTTCCTGCTCTCTGAGAAGATGTGGGTGTCAGAGCATCTGTCCACACTTGATCCGCTCAATGAGTACTCATCGAGGGTCAAGCAGTGGGCTGGGCAGTGGGTGTAGAGTCTCCATCTCCATGGGCTTGCTGTCTGGGCTCGGGAGGAAGGGGCCATGCCTTTACAAGAGGCATCCGCCAAGGAGCTCGCGATGCTGAGCCTGTGCATCGGGCTCTTGGCCTGCTCTGGGGGTGGAGAGCATGGGAAGCCGAGGCCTGGAGACCAGCGGCTTTAGCCGAGGGGCCCCTGAATCACACCACTTGTGTTACTCTGCTGCTCAAAGACAACGTTTCCTGCTGCCTTCCGATGGGGAAGTGGTTTGGGGTCTAGCTGACAGAGGGGGGAAACTGTTTTCAGAGAGACTGAGAAGTGTCTGAGTGACTTCCAGGAGTCAGAGCTGGTTCACCTACCTGTTGCTCCAAGGAAAGCCCCATCGTCTTCCTTCTTAACTTCGTTATTTACAGACACTGGAATGAAAGTTTTAGGAATGCAGGTGTCATAGAAGTCCAACCTCACCCAATTTATAACATTCCTAAAGATCATCGTGCCAGTAGTCCCTTTACAGGATGGAACCAAGGCCCAGCAAAGTTAAGTGACGCCTGAAATCCCCCAACTCCCTGGGCCCCCACTTTCCTACAATTGGCCACTCTGAGATGAGGACTCTGACCAGCTGTCCCATGTGATCTGTCTGCCTGGGCCTGACCTTGGGTCCTGCCAGAAGCCCTCCGGGCCACCCACGCTGTTTACGTGGCGGGGCTGCTTCTTTCACAGGTGTAACAGGGTTATAATACGGGGCAGGTTCCACGTGTACAGATGCGTCCTCCAACATCTGGGTCTGCCACGTTAGCCTCATCGCCAAAAGCTTAATCTGCACCCTCCGTGTACGTGGACCCCTAATTTACCTAAGTTACCCACCTCATTTCCCGTTGCTCCCTCTACGAACCACTTTTGTTATTTAAGTTTAAAGTTTGTTTTTAAGGTTGAATGTGTCTGCCCCATTTTCTTTCCTTGTCTATCTGTGGGTGGCTATTCAGGTTGTTTCCTGCCTTTTTTTTTTTTTTTTAATTAAAAAAAATTTTTTTTTGAAGATTTACTTATTTGTTCATACAGAACT